TCTCTCTCTCTCTCTCTCTCTCTCTCTCTCTCTCTGTTCCGCATCGGAATCGTGCCTCTCTATCGGTCCCGTGGAGACGCAAGGATTTACTTCGTCGTCAAAATTTTGTCGTCATGAGGCACCACCAAACCTCCGAAAGCTCTTTCACACGCCAAGAATCTCATCACCAAACGCAGACTGAGAAATGACAGAGAGCAGAAACAACCAACTTCGTAGAACTTCCATTCAGTCGAGATGACCGGAGAGGCGACATACGAAAGGCCACTTACGCGTTGATGCTCCCAATGCCGTCCTCAAGGATCAAACCCAAACTGGAACTCAGTCGCTCGCCGGTGACTGCTGGTCAAACAGCGCTCGATAACTTTCGCCCTTGCTAACCTGTCCTCGACCACACTTAAAACGAACGGAAATATACTCAATTCCTCCACACAGATACTCCCGGTTGACGCACCTGAGCTGCCATTTATTGTGTGTAGGRCGGGCACAACGACAGTGGCCCGCTCCGACTGCACGTGCGGTGTGTGAGGGAATGCGCAGGCTAGACCTCCTTTGACTTAATGCTGGACGGAATCGCAGTCAGGGGTGCACGCCCAGGAAAGYCCTACTGGGAGTAGGCTTGGAGAGTGCAGTCTCTTTTCCCTCCTCCTTTTCAGACAAGGAGAATGCAGGCAGTGGTTGGTAAGACGACGTGTGGCCAAGCTCTGGTGAATGGCATGGCGTTGGCTGTGCAATGTTGCTGCAATTTCACTTTCCTTGTATCCGCATATGAGACGGTCGTAAGATCGGGACAAACATAGTACCTCAGCAGGTTAGCGCTCTGGCGTTGCAAGGCGTAGGTTGCGGGTTCAACTCCGTCGACCGTCAACCTCCCCTGAGCGCGTTCACTTGGTGCTAGGTTGCCGACTGCGGTACTAGCTCAGTGGGTTGAATTGGGGCGCTCTTACTAGCCTAGTGCGGTACTAGTGCAGCCCATACTAGACTGACCAACTGCGGTACTAGCTCAGTGGGTTGAACTGGGGCGCTCTTAGTCAGTGTTAGTCTTTTAGACCACGAGTACATCCGAAAAAGGAGATTGAGCCTCTCCTGAAAAATAGGACGCCTGCACACCCTTCCAACTTAACTGTTTCAGCCACATGAGATTGGCAGCCGTCATGGTAATCTGGCGTGTTAGGTGCTCTGTTGAACGACAAGATGCTGCCTTTGGCTGCCACGGTGCCACTGAGCCAAAGCACAGCTACTGGAAGTCATACAGGCAAACTTGAGTAAAGCCAGCAAGAAACTCACCGAGGTACTGGCAGCGACCTAGGACGGGGAGAGCAGGAGAAAGGCCATAGCTGCCTTTCGGAAAATCTGGCTTCATCCTGATTGCAAGTTGGTGGAAGTGCACGACAACGGGAAGCTTAGTTGGAAGAACTGGGCAATGCAGGATGACCAGTAGTCCTAACGCGGGGCTGAATGCTTCCCTGTGCCCCTACCACCCCGAACACTGGGCACTATGCCAATGGCGAACCTCAAAGCCGGATCAGACGCCCAACCCCCGAACGACTCACCCGCCCAAGTCAAGTGTCGTCACCCTGTACGAGGACGGCCCGTCCGTACTTCCGTACGAGCGTACGTACGCCATACAGGCCCGGCCCTCCGTACACGGCCTTCCGAAGCCTTAGGGGTGTTGAGGGGTTGGATGGGCCGGGAGGGGTCCGAAGTTCAGGGGGTATCCCCCCCCATTAAAAAAAAAAAAGCAAAGAATTTTTTCCTGTTTGTCCCGGGTGTAAGAAAAAAATATATATATATATATATATTGATTGATTGATTACTTGGTTGATTGATCGATTGATTGATTCAATTTGATTGATTGTTTGATTGATTGGTTGATTGATTGACTGATTATTTGATTGATTGATTGGTTGATTTTGATTGATTGATTGATTGATTGATTGATTGATTGATTGATTGGTTGATTTTGATTGATTGATTGATTGATTGATTGATATGCAGTGGGCGATTCGCCTCCTTGCCGCGAACACACACACACGCACACACACACACACAC